AAGACCAAGGTGAGAAGGAGAACCCGATGCGGGAGCTGCGGATCCGCAAACTCTGCCTCAACATCTGCGTCGGGGAGAGCGGGGATCGGCTCACCCGCGCCGCCAAGGTGCTGGAGCAGCTCACGGGGCAGACCCCCGTGTTCTCCAAAGGTGAGCGGCTGCCCAGGAGCCCTGGATGTTCCCTCGGGTGTTTTCCGTCCTTTCCCCTGGGGGCGGTTCCCAGGAAAGGCTCCTTGGGTCGGGAGAGCTGCTGGAGAATTGGAGGGATTCAATATTCAGGGATTCGTGCGCGTTTGTGCGTTTTAGTTCTGTCTCCAAACTCAGGCTGCTGCTTTGCCAGCATCCCTAAAGACGGAATGTGAGGCTGCCTCGGTTCTTTGTAATTCCATTAATTTTGTGGGTGTTGAGAAGCTCTGAATCCCCCAGGTGGGAATTCCATGGCTGTCTCCTGAGTGTGACTGTTGCTGCCCACAGCCCGGTACACGGTGAGGTCCTTCGGGATCAGGAGAAACGAGAAAATCGCTGTTCACTGCACGGTTCGTGGGGCCAAAGCAGAGGAGATCCTGGAGAAGGGGTTGAAGGTGAGGAGTTCGGGCTGGATCTTTGCTTTGTGACAGAACTGAACTTTTCCTTTCTGAATAAACGGGTGTGTGCTCTGAAATGTTGAGCTGATCTAGGTACAGGTTAGATACATGGAATGAAGTGTTCACACTTTTTTGGGGTGTTGTTTCAGCTCTATTTAAGAACTAATTGGTGCAGCAGCTGATTTTTTGGTGGGTTTTTTTCTTTGCTGCTGGGATTTGGAAGTAAAATTTTTGGGATAAAAATTCAATAGCTAATGAGTGAGTTGGGGGTCTGGTAGCTGTGGGCAGGAGTTTGAATTCTGCTTCCAGTCAGGAACAAAATAACGAGCAAGAACCAATGTTTCAGGTGCGAGAATACGAGCTGAGGAAAAACAACTTCTCAGACACGGGGAACTTTGGCTTTGGGATCCAGGAACACATCGATCTGGGCATTAAATACGATCCCAGTATTGGGATTTATGGCCTGGATTTCTACGTGGTGAGTATTCCCTTTTTTCTGGGCATGTGGGAAAAAGCTCCAGAAGGAACGTGGAATGAGCACTGGCTCTCATGGACTTGCTGGAAGATAAATTTGGGTTTTGTTGACATTATTTTATGAGATTCCCAGAGCTGCAATTCCATAAAATCCCTGATTTATGACAAATCTCACAAAACCTCTTCAGAAGCAAATCCTGTTGCTCTGATAGCAACTCCTGGGATAACACAGAAATGGCAGCAAAGCATCACTGCTGAGGAAACTCCAGGCTTCCCTCCTGGAAAACTGCTTAGTTTAGGGAAGCAGAAAGCAGCAGGATGAAGCAGAGCTGTTGGCTTTGTCCTGCAGGTGCTGGGCAGGCCGGGTTTCAGCATTGCAGACAAGAAACGCAGGACTGGCAACATCGGGGCCAAGCACAGGATTGGGAAGGAGGAGGCCATGCGCTGGTTCCAGCAGAAGGTACAGTCCCATCTCCACTTTGTATCCCTGGAGTATCCCTGGAGTATCCCAAGGAGCAGCAGAATGCACTCCTGGAAATGCTGGAGCAAATCACTGGGCAGATTTTGAGTGCTGAAACGCGGATTTTTGCTGTTTGTGCTTTTTTGGGTGTGCTGAACTGAAGAGCAGCTCTTGGCAGGAGAGCTGGGAGGAACAACCAGCTCTTGTGTAAATGGCTCCCAGAGTTTTTGGAGTTTGGGGATTGTGAGTGAGGAGGCAGGGTTAGGATTTGTTGGTCTGACACAACTCCAGGCTCAGCTGCCACACTTGGAGCATGGAGAGATCCACAAATAAAACAAAATTTTGGGCTTATCTGTTCATATAATGAATGGGAGCTGCTGAAAGCTGGGTTGGAAATCTCAGAGGTGGGAACTGCTGATAGTTTCTTTGGTTTATTTTTTTTTTTTTTGATAAAAAGTGTGGAGTCTGCCTGGACCTACACAGGTCACACCCTGTGCAGGGAGGTCTCTCTGCCCGATCTTGCTGAATTCCTGTTTCCCCATCCTGCCTGGTTCTGTTAATGTGTCACAGTTGCCCTCAGGGCCCAGATTTTCGGCTGCTCAGAGCAGCCTTGGAGGGTGTGGCTGCTTGTTCCAGGGGTTTTATCTGAGCACAGCCCCTTGGACACTCCAGCACAGCACAGAGGCTGCAGGAAAACTGCTCTGCCAATTCCATGTTGGCTTGGAATGACTCTGGTGATGCAGGTTTTCTGCACAGCAGCATGGTTCTTTCACCTGATGGTGATTTCTCACTGTACTTTTACCTGATTGTGATTTCTTACTTGGTTCTTTGTTTTTTTCTTTTCCCTTCACAGTATGATGGCATCATCCTTCCTGGTAAATGAGCAGTTCCTGTTGCCAGAGAAGTAAATAAATTTTTCTAACCCCTAACTTGTGTTGTGAATTTTGTAGGGAAGTTGATGGGAGCGAGGGTCCTTCACTATTATGGTTTGGCTTTTTTTTTCCATTTTTGTACTTTGCAATCCGTGCTGCAATCCAGTGCTGCAGGCTGGGGAGAAAAGCTCTTCTGTGTCTGCATTCCCTGCTTGAGCTTCAAGATGGAAGCAGTTCAGGGGACAATTTCCTAGCTCTCAAAGTTTGCAGTGACCCCAAACATCAGTGTGTCTCCTTATCCAGCTGTCCCACACCCCTGAGCTCTGTCCTTCCTGCAGGTGGGTTCAGTCACAGCCAACTCCCAGCCAGCCTGGTAAACTACCTGGGCACTGCTGCTCCAAGCACTCTTTCACTGCTAATAATTCCTCCAGCCCTGTTTTAGAAAGCAACAAAGGCTTTTTTCCCCATTTTCCATTATTCAGCAGCTCCCAGCCCCACACAAGCTCTCTGCTGGTGCTGCCAGGTGTGTCCTGGCTCTCTGTGACTCACACACACAGGCTGGGGCTGCTCTTACCTTGCTCTCAGACAGGTTTGTCCAGGGGGAAGCTCTGCCCAGTGCCAGGATTTTCAGGCTGAGGCACAGAGACCCTCAACTTTCCCCATACAACACCCTCCTCCCAGCCAGCTGAGTGCTCTTATCAATTCTACGCTTCCAGCAGCCTTTTGGGGTGCTCTGAGGTCTGAATCCGAGGGGCATGGAAAGGGCTGGGCTCGGGTCCAGACCGAGAACTGGAATGGGCTGGACCCAGGTCCAGGCTCAGCTGAGGAAGCTGCCAACAATCCCAAAGAAAAGCAGCCATTGGGAGGCAACAGGAATAGGTGTGCAGTGACATTGTGTTAGGGAAAAAATGTGTCTAGGTCTGGGCTCCTCTGGTCAATAAAGATGAGGAGCTGCTGGAGTGGGTCTAAAAGAGGGGAACAAAGATGATTAAAGGACTGGAGCATCTCTGGTGAACAGAGACTGGTAGCTGGGCCTGGTCAGGCTGGAGAACGGAAAGGCTGAGAGGGAACCCCATAAACCTACCAAATATCCCCAAAGACTGCCAGTGGGGACCCCATAAACCCATAAAATACCCCCAAGGACTGTCAGTGGGGACCCCATAAACCCATAAAATAGCCCCAAGGGGTGTCAGAGGACAGCACCAGGCCCTGTTCAGGGACAGGACGAGGAGCAATGGCCATAAAATAAAACACAACGAGTTCCACCTCAACGTGAGGAAGAACTTCTTGCCATGAGGGTGGCAGAGCCCTGGAACGGCCGCCCAGGGAGGGCTGGAGTCTCCCTCTGTGGGGACATCCCAAACCCACCTGGACGTGTCCCTGTGCCACCTGCTGACCCTGCCCGGGCAGGGGTTGAACTGGACGATCTCCAGAACCGCAGCTCCTCCGGGATTGTGGCAGCCCCTCCTGAGGGCAGGGCCGGCACAGCCGCGGAGCCGCGCTCCCCTCAGGGCGGCGCTGCCAGCACTCAAGATGGCGCCGCTGCCAGCCCCCAACATGGCGTCCCCCGCTCTCTGCCCTCACCCGCCATGGCCGAGGCCGCGCGGCGCCGCTTCCGCTTCCTGCCCGCAGCCAAGATGGCGGCGGCGGCGGGGCAGCGCCGTGGGCCCGGCGGCCGCTGAAGCCGCTTCCGCCGCCGCCGGCTCTCCAGCAGTAAAAATGGCGGAGTCGGTGCTGGAAGTTGTGGGCCGGCTCCAGGCGCGGCTGGCGGGCAGCGCCGAGCCCAAGAAGGTGATGGGGGCTGCCTCGGCCCGCCGGGGTGCCAGCGGTGGGGACGGGGGTCGGGAGTGCGCGGGGCAGGGCCTCCCTCCGCCGGGGCTTCCCCCGCGGGCAGCTCTGTGCCCGGCCGGGGCCGCGCTGCGTGGGCTGGGACGTGCGGGCTGCCCGGGACTCGTCCCCGGCTCGCGGGCCCTGGGGGTCCCGTTGCGGCGGGCCGGTGTCGTTTGTGGGGTGTCCCCGTGGCAGTGGTGGGCGGGCGTCCCTTTTTAGAGTCCCCCCGTGGCAGCCTTGGGGTGGTGGCAGGGGTCCCGTGGCAGATCCTCCCGCGACAGTCGCAGGCAGGGGTCCCTTCTGGGGTCTCCCTTGGGGGCCGGAGTCCGTTTTGGGGTCTCCCTTGGCAGTGCGGGCACGGGTCCCTTTTAGGGTCTCCCTTTTGGGGTTGTGCCTTGGCAGTGACGAGCAAGGATCCCTTTTGGGGCGTCCCTTGGCAATTGCGGGCAGGGGTCCCTTTTGGGGTCTCCTCTGGCAGTGACGAGCAGGGATCCCTTTAGGGGCACCCCTGGCAGTGGCGGGCAGGGTCCCTTTTGGGATCTCCCTTTTGGGGTCTCCCTTTTGGGGTGTCCCCTGGCAGTACCGGGCCGGGGTCCCTTTAGGGGTGCCCGGTGGCCGGGCTGGGCATTCGGGCAGCGGAGGGAGAGCTCTCCGGAAGAGCCGTGTCCCGGTGACGTGTTGGGTGGCGGAGCCGCGGCGCCCTGAGCCCACGCAGGGAGGCCCCGCCGGGGCCCGGGACTCCCCTCCTGTCCCCTCCGCTCCCTCTGGCCTTGGGGGGACTCGCTTGGCTCCTCTGTCCCCGCTGCCAAAATGTTCTGCTGCGGTGCTGCCCCGACCTGCCTCGGGCTCGCTGAGCTCGGTGACATTCTGGTGACAGCGACTGTCCTGCGCCAGAGCTGGTTTTTCTAGTGAGATTTGGAATTCTGGTGGAACTCGGGCGTGCTGTCACTCAATTCTCCTGTTTGAAAGGGGGAGCTTCTGCTGGGAGTATTCACACGTGTTGGGTTCGCGTTTTGTGTAATTCAGGTGAAAGAGGAGGCAGGCAGGGCTGTGCAGCTGCTCCGTGCTGGGCTGGCTCTGTGTCACCGAAACAAACACCTGCAGAACTCGCTGCCCGAGATCTCCCACCACCCAGGAGGAGGAGAGGATGCTGGAGTGCTGACCCTTTGAAATGGGAGCCCCTGCGGGAGCTCCAGCCTGGCTGAGGGTGATGCAATGGGATCTGGTTACTCTCCTCACCCTCTCAGAGCAGGGTTGAACTGGTGGAGCCCCAAATGGAGCCAAGGGACTGCCAGGGAGGCAGATCCAGGGGGTCTGAGCTTCCTGAGATCGTGGGCAAGGCTTGTAATATTGTTTCAGTGCTCTGTGCACACAGAGTTAGCTCTGCTGTTCCCAGCCCCTCTGTGAGCTCCGGCGAGAAGCGCTGGAGTGTTCCTGGAGCACTGCAAGCCCCGGGCAGTGTTTGCACAGCCCGGCTCGTTCTGCAGTGACCTCGTGCTGTGAAGTCGTTTCTTGCTCTGTTGATCCTGGGCGGTTTTGCAAGGGCAGGCAGAGGAGGTAAAGCAGGGTAATGACTTGAAAAGCTCTTTTCTTCCCCAGCAGAAAGGCCCTGTGACCTATATTCTTTACTTCTGATACTTTTCCAACCACATCCTCGGAAATGTTAGTGGTTTAAAGCCTGAATTTAGTTGCCATTGCATTGTCTTGATGGATCATGTGAGGGCCTTCCTGTTGAAGAAATTTTACCCCATCAGCAGGACAAATCCACAGCATCCCTGGGTGCTGCCCACCCTTACACCATTTCCAGTCCTCACTCTTCTTGCCTGGTCCCTTAAAAATATTTTATCAGGAATGTGAAAGAATAATATTTGCCCAGTATGCCTTGCTGAAAGGTGTAAAGTGTTGTTATTCCTGGTTTTGGGTAAAAATTGGGCTCCTGGCACAGAACAGTGTGAGTGAAATCTTGGAGAGTGCTGTCATGGTTTGGAAAATGTCCTTTTTTTCCAGCAGAGGAGGTACAAGTTCTGCTCCAGGGCTTTGGGAAGAAAGAGGAGAAGGAAAACATGAGCAAGAGCATCTTCATGGAGGCCAGGCTGTGCTGGAGCAATTTGATATTAGTGTGTGTTTGTAGTGTGGTAACAGTCTGGCTGCCTTCTTTCAGGGAAAGAAAACGATCCACCCATGTTCAGCAGGACTTGATTGGAGCTGGAACTCAGTTTTGTGGGTTGTGTCTTGATTGACTGAAGCCCTGCCCTGTTCTGGGGTGTTTTAGAAGAGTTTTGTTGTGTGTGTCTCACAAAACTCAAGCTTGGTGTTCTCTGTCTCCCACCTGGTCGCCTTTTCCTCCTAGGATTTGTATGATTTTGGTTATTTCCAAGGTGAGCTGCCAGATTTAGAATCCCAAGATTAGAAAAAACCTCCAGGATCGAGTCAAACCTTTGATGGAACCTTTCCATATCAACTGAGTTGTTTCTTGAACACCTCCAGGGATGAGACTCCACCACCTCCCTCCAATGCCTGACCACCTTTCTATGAAGAATTTCCTCCTGTTACCCAAAATTCCTCCTGATGTCCCTGTAAGCCTCAGTGGGATGAACTCCATCAGCTTGTTTGCAAAGGAAATAAAGTTTAGTACAAGATTTTAAGCCTGACTGCATCAAAGTTGTCTCACTTGGTGCATCTCAAGCACAAGGACCATGGAGGAACTGACTGCAGTGGCTGTGGAATATCTCAGCTCCTCAGGAGACGTGTTCTGGATCAAGTGTGTGGCTCCCCTGGTCCCCAGCCACACTGAGAACAGCATTGCCATTGAGAGCAGCACTTCTCTTCCTGGAACTCAGCCCTGAAGGCAGCAAATAACTAAAGAGCAAACAGAACTGTGGGAGATGCTGCAGTGGGGTGTAGCTAGAAAATATTTAGGGACACCAGAACGAGCTCTCCTTTGGTTCTGACTCTCACAGTGGGATTTTGTAAGCTCTGAAGAAACCTTTCTATGAATGAACTACTCACAGAGATGCTGTTGCTTTTATATTTTCCTGGTTTAGTCTTTTTCTACCTAGTACAAAAATCCATCCTTCTTTCCTTTCCTGCCCCCTTTGTTCACACAAATCCAAACTCTTTATTACCAATCCCAGAAGGATTTTGGCCTTCCCAGAGGGATCCTGAGCCCTGAACTGTGAGGAGATGCAGCAGAGTTGGGCTCTGTCTCTGCTGCCTTTGCTTTGGTGCCTTCAGTTGCCAGCACTTGTTGAGCAGCTGTGCTGGCAAGGCAACAGCAGCCACTCTTGGTATCAGTGTTTCCCTCTTCTAAACCAAGAAAACCGAAACCTTGTGTCACAGTTATTAGGTCCTAAATAGAAAGGGGTGGTTTCTAGTGAGCAGAAGTTGTGGTTTTGCTCATGTCAGTGGAACCCTTCTCTGGGTGTCGAGGAGTGTTTCCTCTCTGAAAGCAGAACCCTCCTCAAACAGGTTCAAGGAACTCCTTTCCCTCCAGAGAACCCTGCAAACCTGCCTGGTCCTTGCAGGGTGCTGTGGGGGTGCCTGGGGGGCAGCTCAGGCTGACACTGCTGATCTGAGCACGAGCACAGTGCTCTAAAGAGAAGATCTTGTGGATCAGGGGCAGCCCTTTGTATGGCATATAGCATAGGAGTGCTGAGCACAGCCGGGGCTCTATAGGGGCTGTAATAATGGGAATGCTGATGAGGCTGGACTGTGGCTATAGCTGAGCTGTGGGAAATGATGTGAGGGGCAACAGTGCTGTCAGATGTGTTCTACCATGTACTGGAGCTCCAGAGCCAACAACCATCGTGGGGAGGCCATGTCCCCAAGCACCTGGCTGGCAGAGGTGCAGGAACATCCCCTGCACTCAGAATCCCACAATCATTGGGGTTGGAAAAGACCTCCAGGATCATTGGATCCAACCTGTGACTGATCCCCAGCCCAGAGCCTCATGTCTGGTCAATCCTTCAGCACCTCCAGGCATGGTGACTCCACCACCTCCCTGGGCAGTCCATTCCATGCCTGGCCATCCTTTCCTGAAGAAATTTCTCTCGGTGTCCAACCTGAACCTCCCCTGGTTCAGCTTGAGGCTGTTTCTTCTTGTCAAACTCCTCCAGCTCGTCCTTGGAGAGGGCTCCTTGTCCCACCCTGTCCCATGGAGCAGCTGAAGATGCTGGCAGAACCTTGCTTGGGGTGTGTAGAGGAAAAAAACACTTCTCTGGTGTTTGGTGAAGGGAAAAGAGTGGAGCAAGAGGGAGGGAATTTGGAAGGGATCAGGTGTTGTTTTAGCACCTGATTGAAAAGAGCCTGTGGCAGTGGAGACACAGGTTCCCCTCTTAGGTCTTTAAGAGCATCTAGAAATCTTCCTTCCCCTTTTTATTGCCAAGGGCTGTGATTCCACCACCACCTTCTGAGAGGCTTCCAAGTGCTTTCTTCCTCTTGCTGTGTGTTTGTGTTCCCAGTGCTTTAAACCAGACTGAAGCTGCAAACATTAATATTTGGGTGTGTTACAAGACTTTCTGGTGGGTTCCTGTGGGCAGAGATGAGATTTTTTTGCAGTTGGCCCTCGTCTTCAGCTTCTCAGGAGCTTTTTTGGATCGAGACAGCAGCTGTCAGCCACTTGGATCTTCCTAACAAGCTCTCAAGCAGTGCAGCATTTTCTTCCTCCCCAGTCCCAGTCTGTGGTTCTGTGTGACAGCTCTGAACCCTTCTCCTCTTGTCTCCACAGCTGCTGAAGAGTCTGAAGAGGCTGTCAGAGTTACCCATCACAGTTGACATTCTCGTGGTAAGAGCTGTGAAATCTCTGGGGCTTTCCCTCGTGTCTGTGGAGCCAGGGAGGGCTGTTTTCCATGGAATCTGCTTTCCCTGGAACAGGGTGTGTTGTCTCAGCACCTGCTCCAGCCCAGTGACACAGGCGTGATTGTGATAAGGTTCTGCAAGTGCCAGGCACGGGGAGGGAGCATGCCAGGGCAGGTGGGAAGCCATGCAGGACAGTTTGTCACGCTCACTTCTCCCAAAAGATTAACACCTGGCTGGGATAAGGGAGTTGGAGCAGATCCCAGCAATAACAGACCAGCAGGAAATGAGGAAGTGCTAATCCTTACAGGTTTTAATAGCTTCTGTCTTCAAACTTGCCAGCTCTCATGGTAAATACTGACTTGGGTTAATAATACAAATAAGTAGTGTTTGTCTAAGGTAGAATTAACCTTTGATTTACAGTAGTGAGTGATATAAAGCAGCTGAAGACATAATGAAATGATCTCTTTGCTGTTAGATCAAGGAACTTTCTCCCTTGCAGCAGTAGGGAGTGTGTTGGTTTCTCTGACTCTTGAGGGAGTTTAGCAGGGGTGAGAATTCCTGTTTTGCTAAGATGGATTCCTGGCTCTCTCCTGAAGGAGACAGGAGTTGGGAAGACTGTGAACAGCCTGAGGAAACATGAGCTGGTGGGAGACTTTGCCAAGGACCTGGTGGCCAGGTGGAAGAAGCTGGTGCCGGTGGCGCAGGAGGCAGAGCGGTGAGTGAGCCCCATGCATGAGCTTTGGCAGTGTTTTCTCAGTGGATACTTCAAACCTCTCTGGCCAAGGCTCTGGAAAAACTTGTAAAACCAATATGTGAACTCTGCCTGGGGGTTTTGCCTTGTTTTGGCAGAAACTTCCTGCCCTTGCTGGCTCTGGAGTGTTGGGATGACGACAGCTGCAGTTTCATGTGGAAGTTGGGGCCAACTTTTAAGAATTTGCAGTTTGATGAAGAGATTAACAGGAGATGCCAAAACAAGTGCCCTTAATAAAGCAAAAGATGCAATTTGCTTGCTTCCCATTTTGTGATTCTGAAGGCAGGAAGTTCTAGGCCCAAGTAAATTGAAAGAATGCTTTCATGAGCCAGAATCCTATGGAAACTGGAAGTTATTGCTGGCAAGCATGTGGCAGTAACAAAGCTGTGTTGAACCCAGAGAGATCAAACAGATTTGAGTGATAAAGGCCAGTTATTAATGGAATTTAAAGGAGTGGTATTCCCACGTGTGGAACTGGGGGACATTTCCCACAGCATCACACAGCCAGGAGTGTGTAGGCACACACAAGGTTCTGTCTCTAGTTCTAACAAAAATGCAATTCTTGCACTAAAAATGCAATTTTTAAATCACTGATTGTTGCTGTTCCTTAGAGATTTAGTGGGATTTTTGACACAAAGCTACCAAATACAACCTTGGCCTTCCATGAGGGGTGTTCCAGTCCAGGGAATGGCTCTTTTCATTCATGTTGGGCAGTATTAATCTCACTCTTTTTGGTTCCTTCTCCTTTCAGAAATAACCTGGACCCTGAAGACCGTGACTATGAGAGGAGCAGCTCAGGCAAAAGGCATCAGGAATCCTCCCTCAGAGAGGATGAGGAGGCTGATCAGGAATACTCAGAACCCTTCCAGCCTTCTTGCAGCCAGTCCTATAGCCCAGATCATAGGGAAAAGAAGTCCAAAAGGTATCCTAGGCCTGAGAGAGCCTATGAGACTTACAGCTATAGCAGCCACCAGGGGAAGGGTTGGGGCAGATCCTCCCCGGTGCTCTCCTCAGACCAGGAGTACTCGGACTGTGGGCAAGCAGTGTCCCCTGAGCCCAGTGAGAGCCCTCAGGACATGGACACAGACCCTTATGCCTCTGAGGAGCAGGAAGAACCAGCACTATTCCCTAGGAAAGCCAATAAAGGGCACAGCTTCCAGGAGAAGCTGGGGGCAGGCCGGGAGCGCGGCGACGTCTGCGACAAAGGGAACGCGAGTCGGGGCAAAGAGCACAAATCCTCGCACAAGAAACAGCGACTCGATGGCAGAGGGGATGACAGGAGCTCTGCCTTCAGCCCTGAGAGGTTGCACAAGGCTTCCTTTAAGGAGCAGCTCCGAGAATCCCCCGTGGCAGCAGGCAGCAAGGAGAAGCAGAGGATGTCAGAGGGCGGCAAAAAGGAGAAGAATCGGGAAAGCGGCGCCTCCAGGAAGGAGAAGCCGCACTCGGAGGAATCTTTGGAGAACCATGTCAAGAAGCAAAAGCATCGGGACTCTGAGAAGAGCAAATTGGAAAAGTCCAAGCAGAGCCTGGAGAGCTCTAACTCAGAGAAACGGAAAGCTGAGAGTGACTCAGGCAATAGGATCAAGGAAAAGGGGGGTTCTGGGAGCTTAAAGTCTTCGGAGGGGAAGCGCAAAATCTCCAATGTGGACAAAAAATCAGTGGGGTTTTCCTCAAATTCTGGGGAGGGGGAAGCAGAGGATGAGTTTGAACAACCTACAATGTCGTTTGAGTCATATCTCAGCTATGACCAGCCCCAGAAAAAGAAAAAGAAAGTGGTGAAGCCCTCAGCTGGATCAGCTGGGGACAAAGACAGAGGGCACAGCAAACAGAATGGATCCAAAGCCACTACCAACAGCTCCAGCTCCAGTCAGAAAAGTCCAAGCCACAAGAGAACAAGTGAGAAAAAGGCAGAGAAGAAATCCCCAGAGCCTCCTAAACCAAAGAGGGTAAGGTTTGGTAAGAAAGCAGAGTATCTGTGGGTGTGAGCTTAGAATCCAGCCCAGTTTGCACTGCATCTCCTCCTAAAGAGGTTCCCATGTCTCCCCTCTCATGTATTTATGCTTCTCTAAAATGAACCTTTTTTAGTGGCCAGAAATGGGAGAACTGGTGGTACAAGGCAGCTCATTCCAGAAGACAAACCTTCTTTTGTGAAAGTCTGGAAAATGAGCAATATTTCTGTGCAGATCCTTTGTCACATGGGTGCCAGGGTTTGGTGTATAAATAGGAACTAATATGTAAAATCTTTACTGTTTCATCTTTTTACTCAACTTTGAAACACTTGCCTCTTCACAAAGTGTTTTTTATAAGGTTTAACTTACAAATCCTGCTTTGCCACTCATTCTAGTAAGTGCTTCATAAAACTCCATATCAAAGTTTTCAGTTTCCCTCCGTTTCTGAGGTTCCCTTCTCCTGCAACATTGCAAAGTTTTTTGCAGGAAGAGGAGAAGAGACAGAAAATGGTAAATGAGTGTTTGAGATCAAGGAAATGCTTGTCCTGAATATGTTAAAAACATGCATGGTTCTTTCTGGAAGGTGCTGAATGATTCAGATCCCAAATTTCAGTTTCTTCCTATTGGCAGCCACCCCCTGAGGCTGTTCCCTGTACAAACTGAGCAGCATTGAGTGGTTTATATAAAATGTGCAAAAACCCCCACAGTTGAGTGCTGTTTGCACCCTGGTGGAATGTCACATTCTGCTGTACTCCTGTCTTTATTCCATGTCCATCCTCTCCTTCCAGATAATTTTAGATGTGGTCCCGACGTTACCAGACATCCCCCTGCCCCCCATCCAGGCCAATTATCGTCCTCTTCCCTCCATCGAGTCCATCACCTGCTCCCAGACTAAAAGGAAAGGTAGGTTGGGCAGGAAAAGGGGTTTGGAATGAGCCAGACTGGGGGAGAGAGCAGGGGTGGGTTCAGGTCTTTTCTTTGGGGTCTGCCAAAGGATAAAAAAGCAGCTGCTTCCCATGTAATCCATCAGAAATGAGAATCCTTCACTGATGCTTCTTTGGGGCTCAGGCTTTGGGTTTGCCCTTCCTTGCTCTGCAAGGAAGATGATTTTGCCCTTTAGGTCACTTCTGGGTGACTCCAATTTGTGGCTCCTGTTCCATGTATCAGGACAGGCTCTTCCTTTTCTCTGTCCCCTCCTCACTGCAATGGTTTCCCTCCACAGCTGTGTCCTCGCCGGTGGAGGAGAGCGAAGCTGGTTTCACAGGCCGCCGGTTAAATTCCAAAATGCAGGTGTACTCTGGCTCCAAAACTGCCTACCTCCCAAAGATGATGTCCCTGTACCAGCAGTGTATCAGGGTCCTCAGCAACAACATCGACTGTGAGTACCTGTCCTTGTCTCTGAGTCACTGTGCACTGACATTTTGGCAACTTGGTACAGACCCCAGCAGTTCCCCCTGTTATAAATATGGGATAAATCCCACTGGAAGTCCAGGGGCTGCAGGGATCAGCACCTAGAATGCTTTCAAGCAGTGCTAAAGCACTGGAAATTATGGGAAATGGAGCTTGCACAAATATTTCTCAACTTGGAGATGTTAGTGCCTGAGGTTCCTTTCTCCTCCCCTCATCCTGAATGGTGTTGTGCAACATTGCAGTTTTTTTCACTGCGTTTCAAGGTGTCAAGCCCTTTCCTTGGCAAGGAAGGAGCAGGATAATTAATACCCTGTGCTTCTTAATTCTCTCTAGCAATCTATGAAGTGGGTGGTGTCCCTTTCTCAGTGCTGGAGCCCGTGTTGGAGAGGTGCACCCCGGAGCAGCTGTATCGCATCGAGGAGTGTAACCACGTGAGTGCCTTGGCTGGGACAAGGGATGTGATGTGCAGGGCTGTCCTCACCTCTGAGAGAAGAATAGCAAACAAAGCCTTTTCATTGCAAGAGGTGGCTTCTGCTAGTCCTGAGTTCCTGGCATTGCAGTGATACATGGGTTTCCTTGAGCTAGGTCTCATAAGCTCTTGGAGATTTATATCACACCCAAGATGGCTCAGCTACCTTAGAAGGCATAAAATTAGTAGGATGGCTTCTGTTGGAAACAGAAAAATTTAAATAAAAGGCAAAATAACAAAACTCTTTACAGAGAAAAACCAAGCCAGGTGCAAGAGGTTTTTGCTCCTGGTAAAACACCTCACAAAAGCCATTAGTTTATTTGTTCTCTTCTTTTTCCAGTAAATTGCTCAGACAGGACTTTTTGGCTCTTGTCCAATTGGATATCCTTAAGTTTGAGGTGAAGTCCCCAAGGTCCTATGAGGTGTCTTTTTACCTAATCAAAGAGAGAAACTTCTGAGCTTTTTCCTTTTTAAGGAGAGAAAAGATAGTTTTGTGAGAAAACACAATTCCTACACTGCAGCCCACAGGCCCTGCTGGAATTCCACCAGCACTGAGCTGGTGCTGAGGGAAAGGAGGAGTCAGGAGGGATCCCAGCTCTGTATTTGCTTCAGGTGCTGGTGGAGGACACGGATCAGCTGTGGCACAACCACTGCCTGCGAGACTTCAAGAACGAGAAGCCCGAGGAGTTCGAGTCGTGGCGGG